CGAAGACGTAATAGACTCTTTAGTAATCAAGACTTATTGGATCGAATTGAAAATATTCCTTTACAAATTGTAGACGATCCTTCATTAGATCAATTTTATAATGGATCGTCTTTCCCTTAAACACGTTCTTCTCTGAAAAATAATTTAACAGGTGAGAAGTGAAAAAAAAAAAAATTTTTTTTTTAGATATAAAAAATAGTTTTTAAAAATAATTTTTTCTCGGTTGATTCACAATTTATTACGTTATAGATCCCCTATATCCTAAAGAAAAATGAAGTGACGTTATATTTAATAAATACAATATTTACATTTTGCAAGGATTTGTGTCCTTCATTTTTTTTTTTATATCGAAAAAATTTTTTTCATGTTTTCATTTCGTTACATAGATTATAATGAACACGATTTATTGCTTGTTAATAGAACATTGTGAAAATAATAATTATGTAATAATAATCTCGATGTATGCTTAATTATCAATTGAATACTTGGTTGATTATTAATTAATTCTATCCGACTCTCGGAAAGGGTTATACCAGGGATGATGACTTTTTGTGGTAATAAAAGATTAATTTTGTGCGATTTTGTGGTGCTATTTATATCATTTGTGTGATTTTGTGATCTATTTATATGATGTTATGTGTTTTTACATACGATAGGAATTGAATCGATCGATTAGAATCGATTTAAGAATCGATTTAATCGCGATTATCGTTTCTCAAGATTCGATTCTAAGATTCGATTTTTATATGCACGTAAAATTGTGGCGTAGCTAAATCTGTACTTATAAAAAAAAAATTTTTAAAAAAAAAAATCGAAGGTTAAAAAAACAAACATGCGGGAGATTAAAAAAATAAAAGATAAAAAAAAATTGCGAATATTAAAATTAAAAAAAATTGGAATTAAAACATTTGAAAATTGAAACCCGCGATTAAAAAATTAAAAATTAATTAATATAAATTTATCATTAAAAATTGAAATTAAATAATAACGATAATATATAAATTATTAGTTAATGTTAGAATTAGGATTAGGGTTAAAGATAGAGTCAATTATGTTTGTAAAAACACCAATGATGAGTTAGGGTAAGATTAGGATTAGGGTTAGAGTTAGGGTTGGATTATTTATCAATAACTTGTTAAATTTTTTTTTGTTTATATATATGCTAAAACTTTAAAAATTAATTTTTCAACAACTATTTCACGTCGCGATAGCGAAAAACCGCTAGTTTTCTTGAATAATGAAAATCAATTATTTAATAATCCTAAATAATTTTATACAATTTTATGGTTTAACTTTATAATAATTAGTTTATTTAACTTTTACACATGAATCTTTTGTCACAAATTTCATTCTTCATATAATTTGTAATTAAACATCAACTTCCACTCCTTATATTTAGACCTTTTTAATAATTGTAATTCGCCATGTGCTGAGCATTATATACGTCATTTTACGATTATCGATTTAAATCGATTTCGATTCGATTTTCGATTTATTAGAATTGTTACCATACGAATTATCGAACGAAAAAAAAAAAGAAACTAATTTTTTTGACACTGCGCTCAAGTATTAGAATTTTACTTTCTTTTTTTCTTAAATTTTTAAATCTAATCTAAGAAAAAAAAATAACGTCCACATGTTTGAAAGAGATGACAAAATAACGATTCAAAATTATGTACAGCATTAGAAAATTGAATAGCTCTGGAGTAATGTCTAAACTATATATTTTTTTTATTTTTGGATATTATTTTAATCAATTTAGATTAAAATTGTTAAGTCGTTAAGTTATTACAAGCACTTTTTCCAAATATAAAATCATTGAACTTAATAACAGCAATTACCGATCTCATAATATAATAAAACCTTATTTCTAAACATATGGGGTAATGATATGAAAAAATTTGCATAACTTTATTGTAACAAATATACTTCCAGAGTAAATGAGCATCGCCACGTTTTCTGACATTTCAACACAATGGAGCGTAATTTATCACATATAAATTTAATCTTATCATAAATTAAAATTACCAGACCAGATTATCTTAAAAAAAAAAAATTGTTATAAGAAGAGAAATAAAATAATTCATACATTAGTGAAATCAGTAATTTTCTTTAAAAATAGATACAATTGTATTTACCTATATAAATCATCTTAATTAAATTAAAGTCACAAATGTTTTTTCTGAATTAAGCGAGTTGCAAAATTTCTTGTAATCCTTTAGTCAAAATGATATTCCGTTGAAAAATTCATTTATCGACTGAACGTTTGTCCTCTGAATCGGAATGTTTGAAATTCTGTTCAAAGCATCTTGATTGTTGAATGGTGCATTATAAAAGTTTCTATGATTTACCACTCTATTTGTATTTTGTCTTCTATTATGCCGACATCTGTTTCTTAGAAATAACGATCTACCGTTGTTATTTATAGGAGCAAGAACATTAGATAGTCTATTTTGGTTCGATCGCGTTTGCATTTTGTGTGTAAAAATATATATGAATTCCTTTATTTATAATTTATAATTTTTATTTTTTTATTTTTTTTTTTTGCATTTTTATGAAAAATTTCAACGTATTTATACGAAAAATTAAAGAATTTACAACGAAACAAATTAATTTAGTTTTTTTTTTTTACGTAATAAATCGGAGTTAAACGGGTATAAGTAAAAAAAAATGAACACAAGATAAAAAGGAAAAATTTTATTAACCCACTATACTAAGATCTATTAAAAAGAAATTTATGTATAAAAAAAGTTTTAATTTTACGCGTGGAAAGCATTAAGAAATTCTAGTATTGCCTTGATTAATGTATGAGAAATTTATGAAATGATAATCACATGAAATTTTAATAATCCAGTTAAAACGTGCTAAAATGTCATCATTTGATTTAACAGATAAAAATATCCATTAACTAAAAATGAAAAGACGCAGTGTGATTATGTAATGCATGTTTTCTAAAAGCTAAACTAAATAAAAAATAAACTATAATTAATAAATAAAAACATGTTTGAAACAAACAAATTTAAGGTCGCAAAAATCCCGCACAAAGAATGACTTATCTATTTTTTGTCTTTTTTTTTGAATATTGTTTGATTTGTGCTTGCCGATATTTTTTTTTTTTTGATTTATTATAAAATTACATTTTTTAAATATAATATATTTATATATATAAGTTATTAAAATATTATAAAAATGAATATCAATATAAGTGTAATTTAATTAAATTGTTACATATAATAACTGATATAAACAAAATAACACTTCATACATTACTCAATATCAAGCATATGATTGCGTGCGGACAGACAATGGAAGTTCCCTACGCTTAAATAATTAAATAATTAAAAAGGCACGAGGTCATTTTAAGTATTATTATTTATGATTAGGATTCAGTAGGATTCACAAGATGCAATTCTATAATCAATTCAATATTTGAAATTTAAAGAAGATCTTTATGAAAAATAGCACGTCCGAAACTGTGTGACAGGTTACGCCGATTATATTACTAGAGTATGTTGCGCATCTTTTAAAAAAAACGTCCAAGTCAAATTTGTAGTCAAAACTCACTTTGTCGCTCTAACTTGCAGAGCTGGCAAAAATACACCTCCATACATAATTTTTAATGTCTAATAATAATTTTGTTAGGCTTTAACTTTTAAAACCTAATTTTTTCGAAAAAATAATTGTAGCGCATGTATTTTAAACTATTTGGTAATATGGAAATACCATTTTTTTTTTTTAATACATCAATTATTTCTTTAATATAATTTTTATTCTGTTATTTCTATGAGTTAATTCGGTAAAATTAAATCTACATATCATGAATTAACAGTTTTTCTTAAAAAAAAATTGCATAAAGAGAAAAATATTTGATAAATAACATAAACTTGATGATCGAATTTTATATCTTCAAAAACATCGTTTCGTTGAAAAGTTCATTTATCAACTGATTATTTTCTGCTTATCGAAAGAATTTTTGAAATTCTGTTCAAAGTATCTTGGTAGTTGATAGACGTGTGTCAATTGAATTGATGTACTCGATTTGCATTTGTTGTTTACTTTGCCAACTTTTGTTTCTTAAATATCTCGCTCTAGAACACGATTACATTTTTGTTTTTTGTGTTTAAAATTATATATTCTTTATTTTTTTATTTTTTACTTTTTTTTTAAAAAAAAATGTTCTTCCAACTATTCATATCAAATGTTGCTTCAATAAGTGACAAAATTATTATGTACGATGTAAATCAAAAACAAATGATTCTAAACGGTATTTTAGAAAAGAATATTAGTTTAACTTTATTTATAAACGAATTTTTAATTTGCTCTTCGAAAATTTCTAGAAGCAAAAAATCAAGATTTGATTAACAATTGGGATTACAAATTAAAAATTCCTAGGGATGATCATTTTTTTTTTTATAAAAAGAATGGATTTTGATTTTAGATTTTATTTTATAATACAAATGAGGATTACATTATTTATAGTCAGCTCTCGATATAAATTCCCGTGGAAAATTTCGAATTGTAGTTTATTCTAAGTTTGAAGGAAAATTTTGAATTTATCATGCCGCCCATGATCTTGGAATTTTTTTCTTTTTATAATTAACATAAGATATTATTGCATCGTAAATATTTAAAATTATAATGAAATTTTGTTCTGCACAACTCTTGGACGTGCAGCAACTGTACATTATAGTTTTTCATATTTTGTCCAAAAATATTTTAAAGTCAATAAATGTGTCTAGTGCTTTAAAAATATTGCTTTACAATTTAGTATTTTAATTTCGCACGAAGAAAAAAAAAAAAAATAAAATATTAATTAATTAATTAGAATCCTTTCAGATTAAAAAAATTTTATCAACTAGAATTTCGTTAAGAACACTTGAATTTTAATATATGGAAGGTTTGTATTTTAATGGCAAATTTAGATTTACATTATCATGTATATTACGCGTTGAAAATGATTCCTTTTCTCAGACAAAAAGACAACTCAAATTAATATTTAGTTATCGAGAATAAAAAAGGAATATAGCATTAGGATTTGCTTTATGTGAAATTGACATATTTGGTATCTTTTTCTCTGTTTCTTCAAATCCTTCCTTTATTTCTTTTCCATAATGTCCATTAATTAACTCAGGGATCGTTGGACTTTGATTTGGAATTGCATCCATACACTATAAGCCAATTTCTTATAAAATTCAGGAGTTCCTTTTCCAAAATTCTGGACGAATTCCATTACAATATCTAAGGTTAAAGATGAGTTTCGACCATAATTACACCAATACTGTAGATATCAGAAGCCAAAGTATATAATTCTGCATTCAAGACTTCTGGTGCGATATATGGTAACACTCCATATACTTTATCATCCGATTTTTGCTTATCTGCCGGTCCTGATAATCCAAAAAGGTTCTCGTCTTTCAATATATTTCCATTATGAAAACCCTTATGACAATATCTTAATTTATGTAATTCATAAAGGTTAAGAAGTACAGAAAGTAATCGAAAAACTTTAACATAAAATGTTGTTAAAATTATTTGAAAGGTAGCTGTTCAAAATTTCTCAATTCTGCAAAACCTACGATCATAATAAAATCTTTGGTTTCTGGATCCTTAGTTATTCCATATAATTGTAATAAAAATACCATAGGGCTTCTTTTCCAATACTCCCAATGTGCTTTAATATAAATTTAAGCAACTTAGAAATATACTTATTTAATAAATATCAAATATGAATGTAAAATACTTCATTAAAATAATTAGCTGACATGTCCCGTAATCCATTTAACCTTTTCAAAACAACCTTCCTAATTCAGGATCCGGTACAGGATCCGACTTCCGTCATCTTGCCTTTCTAATACCGTTCGACCATCGATCCATGTTGCAGAATACACTTTTGGCTAATCCTCATTCACCAATTTCTTTTATATAAAAGGCACTGAAACCGTGATCCGTGACCGCACTACGGATAAGTCATGTGATCAAAATGATCGACGTAGTTGACAAAAGTTGACAAAAGTTGACAAAGTTGACAGAGTTGCTAAAGTTGTCAACGTTGATCAAGTGGATATATTAGACATATTTATCATATTTATCAATTATGTTATATTTGTTATATTTGTTATATTTGTCACAGTTGATTTTTATATTATTTTATTTTATATAAATATCTTGTATTTTTCCTTGGGTTGAAAAGCAACTCAAGTTGAGGTTTTAGGATAAACCA